TTTAAATAAATATATATCTATATTTTAACAAAAAGGTGCTTCTGAAAATATTTTTTTTATTTTTGATTCATTCGTCTTATTCAGATTCCGTTTTACAAAGCTTTTACTGCATTTAATTGTACTTACAGCCTGATTTTTTCTATTAATGCAGCATATGGCAATTCCCAGGTGTACATTTTAATTAATCTCATATCAGCAATCATTTCGTTCAACAAATTCAATCTTTCGTCTGCCAAAATAGCTGCTTGTAATCTATAATGTAATTGAATTTATAAACATATATTCTGGAAAAATTGTAGAAAACTAAATACTGAATGTATAGATTATAATTAATAATAATATTACTGTATATTAAAAGTAAGACCTCCATTTATCAAGTATTGAATATTACAAAAGGGTCGTTTATGCTACTGGAATCCCTTTTTATACTATTTCGATCTTAGCGATTATTTCACGTATTTAAATTTCATATAAGTAAAAGCTTTATTAATGTTTTTATAATTTCTAAGAATTTATTTAGTTTATTAAATTTATTTACTTCGTGCTGAAAATAAAACCGTTTAAATCGTAATTCGTCTATTGGAGAACAGAGTGGAAAATAGAAAAAGAATATCTTTTGGACAAGAGTATCTCATACTCGAAAAATACCGTATTTTGACGAGTATAAGTCGCTGTCAAGTATAAGATGCACCCCTATTTTGAGACAGAAAATTTAAAAAAATCTTTTTCAATGGGAAATTGCATTTTATTCGTTTTTTATTCAAGAATATGACGGATGGGTGAATCGATACTTTTATTAAACTGAAATAATCGTCATTTCTTAATGTAAACTCAGAAGCCACGCGATGACAGTCGACAGAACATGGCAGCGATGACTCGTGTGTCGCTATTCTGATAATCTAGGTACTCTAGCCATTCGGTTGAGGGACCATGTGCTTAACGGATCAGTGCACAGGTTGGTCTCTAGAGTGGACAACTACTGTAAATAATTTCACTGTAAAAATGGTTACCTGTCGAGTATAAAACGCACCATGATTTTGAGCCCCAAAAAGTAGTAAAAAAAGTGCGACTTATACTCGTCAAAATACGGTAATTATATTTCACAAATTTCAGAACTATTAGTCATGCAAATTTGGTTTGAAAAATTTAAACCCATCGCTACAGTGTCGCTAGTTTTAAATGTTTTACGCCATTTGATATTGTTTATTGCCACCAATTTTCCTTCCTAATTGATGTAGGTGCTTGTAGCCTTATCAGTTTGGCGTCTGGAAAGCAAAAGTAACGTTTTAAACTGTCACTTACAAGTATAGAGCCAGTAATTCTTTTCCTCGATTGGAACGAAACTTGGTGAGCACGTAGTCTTAAACACAAACAGTTCCTTGTCCAAATAACAGAATGCACTTTTCAAACATATCCAGAAAAGTGGCCTCTGAAAATTGAGTGTTTAATTGGGATACTTGAAGCGTAACAAAGATGAGCGCGTAAGAATATTGTTCATAATATTAACAATTAAAAGAAGAAAAAGATGCGACTACGCTACGCTATTCTCATATCATTTGTTTTTTTCGTCCATTTGCACTAACGTCGGAAACATATTCGCTTGTAAAGACATCTCCTTGTTAGCAATAGAAATAATTTTTAATAACTTTTTAGTGAATAATTCCTAATAACACATTTTATCACAGTGCTTAAATAGTATTTCATAGGTTCTGTGATGTGAAAAATTTTGTTGTAGTTTACTGAAAAAGATCGAAATGGAAAATCTCATTTCAAAAAATTCTCGAAACTTTCTGTTAGTCGATAAAAAATCTTCACTCTCGAAACGTTGGGTTGCACTGTACAAAACTTCGTTCGGTTCTCAACGTCACATCTTACATTACTGCCCGTACTTGCTATGTGATGCCATCAAATCGCTAGGTGTATAATGCACAGGATTCTTATTCTACGGAAGCTCCAGATTTTGCTGCTTTTCCCGAAGTATAATTAGTGATTCAATCTCACGCTAAATGTCGATAGTAACAAACTGAAATTTTATCGTCACGTACTATCAGTATTATATTTTTGTTGCCACTTTAAAAAAAATATATCACCGAGCGGCGATTTCGGCGCTATGCAGCGCAAACCATGCTTATTGTGTCATTTTACAAGTCTGAAAAATTAATAAAAAAATAAAACTAAACAACGAAAAATATTTTAATACTGTATACACAACGGGCAATGTAATTTAAGTAAGAATAAACAGTTAAATCGCCTTTTTAAATTTCTATGTTACATAGTTCTAATTTATGTTCTTTTATCCTAATAATCATTCTCAGCAAGAAAACAGAAAATTAACCAACAACTTAATTAATATGCATCTATGTCCTTAATTTAATCAAAATTATTCTTTTAATCACTATATCAGTGTATTTCTATTAATAAGACTTATCAAACTGGTGTTCAAGATTGCAGACTCACAGTTACACAGATTAAAATTGTTTTATTTTCAATTACCTGGACACATACAATTTGCGTTTNAATCTAAGTTTGTTTATTGTTTAAATTTTAGAATTTGTTTATTGAATACCTGCTGAGGAGGGACATACAAGTCCGAAACGCAAATTGTATGTGTCCAGGTAATTGAAAATAAAACAATTTTAATCTGTGTAACTGTGAGTCTGCAATCTTGAACACCAGTTTGATAAGTCCTATCAATAGAAATACACTGATATAGTGATTAAAAGAATAATTTTAACCAACAACTTATTTGCTGAGAAAAACCATAATCCTTCACGAACGTTTTTGAACATTAAAACGAAATTTTCATACAAATCTAGAAACGTATTATGAATTGAAATTAAATGAACGCCTCACGAAAAGAAATAATTGTAACTAAATGAACAAATATAAAAAAATAAAAGATTCAATCACAATAATAAAAAAAAAGTTTAATCTCTTTTGCAAAGGTCATGGTGTAGATGGTGGCTGATTAGCGTCAACTTCGGTATTGAAGGAGTTTTGTGAGAGAATGGAGTTTCAAACTTTGAAAAGTTAAATTATTACTTATCATACTGTAATTTTAGTTTTAAACGTTAACAAGTCTTCAGCGTCTAACGTTTAAGCATTTATCTGCTATCTGCAAAGTTTATATTTGTGTCGCAGATATATGTTTTCTTATGGTCAAAGTGATGTCTCTCATGTGATATTCTATACAATTCATGCTAATTCTATACAATCTTTCCTGTTCATCTTTTTTCTTATTTTGTTTTCGTCATTTCATAAAAAGATGCGCATCGTGTGTTCTCTTTTAAAATATTGTCAGTTAATCTTACATAAGTTAGAAAAAAATGTCCTTAGTTCAATCGTAAATTACATCGTACTATATAAGTTCAGAAATCAGATAAACAGCCACAGAATTCAACAATTTTTCAAGATTGTCAATCAATGTCATTCCATATACTTGAAATTCACGGCCTATAAAAATTCTTCTGATGGTCCAGATCAGAATGCCATATTACCATGTTTAATATCAGGTAATATAGCATAGATATTAATTAATATTTAACATTTTATTTATTTTAAATACATCAATTTCACCCTCATTAGCTAATGACTTTTAGATAAAGTATGATTTTTTTTACTTTATTTACAGCTACTTTATATTTATATAATTTAGAGTAATAATTACCTTAATTTTGAATATAGTTTACTCAAAGCAAATTGGATAGGAAGGAAGAGAAATACTACCAAAAATCCCATTAATATAGTCCATCCATAATATGGCCATAACGTCAGTATCGAAAAAATGATGAAGAAAGGCGATGTAAATAAAAGTGCAATGGAGAAAATTCTCTGTAATAAATGAAATAATTTGATTAAAAGTAACTTAAATTTTAGGATAATTATTTTGGAGATCATAAAGTAAATTACGAACATATTATGTTTGCAATAACTAGTTTTATTTTTAAATAGATGATATTTCTGGCACTGACAGTACTTTTACCAAACTCTTGCATAATATTGAAAATAGCAAATTTCGGATTTTAACATTTTCGAAAACTTCTATAAGTTATAAGTATTCTAAATGGGGTAGATATTGCTGTATATTTTTTATCTGCGATTTTTTCATTCTTCTTACGTTCATTTCCACTGTTTCATCAGTGTAAATATATTACAGTGAGCATAAATACCTCTGTAATGAAAAGTATCGGAAATATTTAAATAGAAAGCAAAATCTAAATTTAAAGTCAAAATTTATTTTGTAGACTACTTTCAAAATAATTTTCTCCCAAAGCAGTAAAAATGTCAACGTTTTTTCTAATCTTTGAAACACGCTGTAAAGTCGTTGTCTCGAAAAATCCCTTTCGAACTTGCGGCGAATTTTCTTCATTGCATCTCTAGTCTAAAACGGTTACAAATTACAAAAGAAATAACGTATCCATAATTGTACAGGACAAATGTTCCTCGATCAGCCAATAGTTGAACAGAATGAAAATTTGACAGATAAAGAAAGCAGCAAGACGTTTTTCTGTTTTCACATTTCCTTTATGAGTAGTTTTTATCTAAATCTTTTTCACCTGTAAAAGAAGTGTTACCAGTAGGATATGTTAGAGGAAAAATTCAACAAAAGAACATTTTTTTCGTTGAAATTGTTGAAAGAAATAATTTTCTCTTGTCTTGGAGCAAAAATTATATAATAGAGGAGAAGGTGGTATTATGAAACCCCATTTTCATTTTAGTGAATTGTAAATATAACTACACCTAAATTTTTTGTGCGAAAAGTACTGGTATCTATAAACTAATTGTTCCTAATTGGATTTTTCGCTAGTGTAACAATAAGTATTGTTTTTGAAGGCTTTTGTACAAAAAGTCAGAAAGTAGGCTTAGAGAAAACCTAATGGTAACATGGAACCTTACTGTATGCTTTCAAAAAATGCTTTAGTGTATCCAAAACAAATAGCAAAGTACAAAGAATGTTAAATAATTACAAACTTATTTACTCCAATGTATTTTATTGAAAAAATGCTTTCATAATAGAAAAATATGACCTCCATCAACAATATATATTCCAGCAGTTCTTTTTCGATATTCTCGGGAAGAATTAGCTTTCTACCTAGTGTGTTTTTCACAAATTGCCCCGGACGAATGTCTGCTTGCAAATAGAGAGTTCGGAGGAGTTGGGTTCGATATTAAAAGCACCAATGGATCTTGAATTAACTTATGTCTGTCAAGACTAAATTTTAAAAAACGTGAACATCACACAGATTAGTATCTACCCCTAAGTCTCTGGAACAGAATACGTGCACCAGTGAACCTACAACTACACGATTAATATTTTAAAAATAATTAAATTCACTTAGCATTCAAAACTTGCTAATTTTGAAAAACACAAATTTGCTGATTAAATACAGACAACTGTTTAACGGATACCTGTATTTAAATTTATATTTTATGATTCACAATTTTAAAATATTCCAGTAATTCTTTTTTTAAGCCAAACAGTGGATACCACTGGTAAATATATCAGAATTGTAACATGCTTTTAATTAAAGTTTGCAAAAATTAATTTGTAATGTTTTCTGTATCTTTCTGTGCTTCCAGCCCGATCGCTGCTTGTAACATAGCACGTTCACCTCTCTTTCATTATTTTGCACAATGGTCAGATGTTTGAATAATTTATGCAATCTTCAAAATGCATTTTCAACATGTCTGCAATGAACTGCGATCGTTTTCGCGCTTTCTTCGAAAACAATTAGGCTACAGAGTTCAATTCTCTTAAAGTGTACAGTGATAAAAGATGTCATTTGGAACATATTTATTGCTTATCTACGACCTAACAGTACGGTAAAAAAGCTGTGTGAGAGAATAAAAAAGTACTTTCAATTCTGCTATTTTTACAATGGAATTAAGACAAACTATTACCTTTCCCCCACAATTCTACACGAGAGCGACCGAAACATCTGTTACATAAAGTATTTATCGCCACCCGAACCTTATATAGACTCTCTCTCTCGCGACCACTCCGTTAAATAGGTTGGTTAATCCTGATATGTATCCTGTAACTTTTCTCTTTGAAATTATTAAACGTATATTTGTTATTAATCCCTAGAGTCTGAGTGTAGTACTTCCAGTGCACTGTCTCTCAATCCATTTCCATCCTGAATCCGATCACTTGCTCACGCAACCGCTTGCATGATCTATGTCGAATCCGAGTCAACATGCCGTCTTGGCTTCCGTGTCGAACGAGACACGGTGGTGTCAGTTATGACAAAACACTAAACAGGTGCTGACCCTCTGGTCACAGTGGTGTCAGAGCAGGATAAAATTTTAAAATAAAGACAAATTGCAATAGGATGGAGGCAAGAGCAGAAAGACATGCGCGAGGAGAAACAGCAGGAATTACCACGTTCAGTGTACTTGGGAAAATGATTCTGTTAATACAGTAGAGTCCCGAAAACTCGGCACTCGATAACCCGGCAGTCCGGATAACTCGGCCATACCCTCGGCCTCAGCAGGGCAAAAAACCCTTAGTTAATTAATTTTCATTATAGACAGCTTTATGCCTCATAAAGTATTTTTCTGAGGTCTGTCTTATCAGGTAAATTACTGTACACAGTATATTCATTAATTTTAATTTTTATGTAGTAAAGGCTCTATGCCTTCATAAAGTACGTACATTTCCTTTGTTTAAGGGTATTTGGGCAGTTTATTCTCTATTCTCAAGCAAACAATACATACAAGTACAGTACAGTATTTTCTGAAGAAACACTCGTACTTATTTTTTAAACCCCATTCCCGATAACCTCGCATTTTCACAAACTCGGCCATCCTTCGGTCCACATTAGGCCGACTTTTCGGGACTCTACTGTACTCTCTTTTGTGGCAGACGTTGATGGCATTAAGATCACCAATTTCTTCGCTAGATGAAATAGCTAATTTAACCAATTGGGTAAAGGTGCAGTGTTTCGGAATTGACAAATTAAAATTGACAGGGATAGATAGAGATTTTGCATGGAAGGATGCGAAGATGAAAGAAGTCGAAAAAACACAATGAGTTTAAGAGACTCATGATCAAGAGATTTGAAAAAGCACCCTTTTCTTTATGTCTGAAAAATTATTATGCTTGCGTTTAAGCATGGGATGAGGACATGAAAACTTATGCAGTACCATTACAGACCCTAGCATCGGAAACGATTATAAAACAAACTAGTGAGGATGCACACAGGAGTGGGACGTTTTTAATTAAAAGGTGTTAACAAACGGAAAGAGACAAACGATTGCTAGTGCAATTTTTTAGTGGGCTTAATGATCAGATAAAGCGACAGGTAAAGGAAACCTGATTCTTTCGATAAATTGTTGCAGGCAGCAATTAGTGAAAAAACTATGACTGACTAATGGCAAAATAACAAGCAATAGTACAAACTATAAATAACTCTAGCGACAATAAAGAGGAACCTAACGCTACAACCCACAATCAATGAGAAGAGACTGGCAAAAATTCAGGAGCAAATTAAAGCAACTAGCAGTGCAGGAACTTGGTCAAGGCGACCCTAGACAAAGACCACCATCATTTTGGCGTCCTCTAGAATATACAGATCAACAACGACAATATCAACCCCGCGGAAGATTGGGCAACGATCCTCGAGGCCCTTGAGTATCTATGTACGTTACTCGATATGGAACGAGGATTATCCCTAATACACCCCGAGGACAATCAGTTAAACCAAATTCTATACTACCTAAAAGGCTTGTACATAGGCTTAGTAAAGTAATTTCACAAAGAATTAATAATTTGACGAATTAATAAAGTAAATTGACAAAGACTTAGAAGAGTATCCCTACTAGAGAACGCAAGTTTTTCTGCTACCCACGACCAGTTCACTCTCTATATCATAGAGAGAATAGCCGCTTTCAGTCTCAGGTTATGACCAACATTCATAAACTAACGAATGAAGTGAATTTAATATTACCAGGAAGGAATTAATGCAATAACCTACAATTTCAAACAGAGATTATCTTGTAAGATCAACGGATATTCAGCTCGATTAGCCATTGACATCTGTTTTAAAGAAACACTTCTATCTAGATCTTTGGCTTGAAGAGTAGCTCAAATAGATTTTAATAGCAGGGAAGAAAAGACGTTGTTTCAAAGTGTTATGGACCATGGAATAAAAACCTATGAAGCGATGGAGTTCTGCTTTGAAATCGGACCCTTGCAGTTTTCTATTCTTGCGATGTAGTAGATGATCTGATTACCAAACCATTTGACAGACTCCTAAGGAAATATATCGTTCAAGCACATAGATTAACGATTTGTTTAGCTAGAGAAAAATTAATTTTCCCGGAATGAGAGGTGATCGATTTCCAAAGGGTCCCAGAATCAAGGGAAATAGCAAAACTAGCTCCGGTAGGTAGAAAACTAGATCGTAAAGGCACATATATAAAATCTAATGCTTATCCTACTCCTAACTGTCCAACAACCAAAGCTACTCATATATCAAATAGACAAATACTTCGAGAGCAAACTCGAGATGTAATTCTATTGGATGACTGTAACCTTTCCCCAAAAACAGAAATGATTGCCCCTGAGTCAGGCACGTTGAGGCGCTATCATGAGATAGGGCACACAGGGAGAGTTTCTTCCAGTTTCAAAAATCAACTTAGTAAAAATCATAGTTTTATTCGTGGTTTTTTGATGTTAGGTTTTTGTGGGAATGGGTTTTTGAAGTTCTGTTCAACAAAACTACTCAAAATATATCGTTTTTATTTATTTATAACGAAAACAAAAAAGTCTGACTTTTAGGAATTTTTCAGGAAAAATTGACAACTTTAAAAGGGATTTTACAAACTGT